TTAAAAGTAAGAAGAAAAAAGATTATTTTTTTTACTTTTTTAAGAAGACACTTTTAAGACACGTGGTGAAAAGATCTAAATATTTTTATTAAAAAAATGCCAAATAGTCATTTTATTAAATAAAATTTCATTTTCAGGACACTGAATTGGAAGAAAACTTTAAGTAATTAAAGAACATATAATTGAAAGGAATCTTCATACATACAGAACATTTTGTTGGAAGGAAACTACATATACATTACAAGACAAGTTTTATCAGGATGAAAAATATACAAAGAAATTCTTTGGAAGGAAACTCTATACAAGACATTTCATTGAAGGGAAACTTCGAATTTAGGACATTTCATTGGATAGAAACTTCATTTACAGGACATTCAGTTGAAAGGAAAATTCAGAACATTTTTTAGAAAATAGGAAATACACTACTGCATTTCCTATTTTAACCTTAACTAATTAATAGGAACTAAAATGGAAGTATAAGTCACAGGGGAAAAATTCTGGAAATAAAAACTTTGGTAAAAGTCTCATTTTTCTTAAGACCTAGGACAAAAAAGTCGGAGGAAATAAAGTCCAGAGCATTATATTCCAGGATTTTTTCTTAATTGATTATAGGCGCTGCCAAAAAGTCTCAGAAAACGGGAATGTTTATTAAGTGCACCCCATCATCTTTGTTCCCAGCTGTCGACTTTTTCAATGTTATCTTTGATAAATGGGGGAAAATAAATGAATTTTTGGGTCTAAGAGGATGCAGAAAAAAACGGCTGTTAGATGTCTAACTATAATTGGTTCAACAGATTAACAGATTTTTATAATTTTAACGTTTTTAAATTTAGTGCTTCAAGGCAGATTTTTTACACCCATTGTCACAAATGTTGAAAAAAATAATTTGTTTGTACTGGTGAATTAATAATTACAAAAACGTGATGCGCTGAATGAATTTAAAAGTAAGAAGAAAAAAGATTATTTTTTTTACTTTTTTAAGAAGACACTTTTAAGACACGTGGTGAAAAGATCTAAATATTTTTATTAAAAAGCAATCATAAAAAAGAAATTTTGAGTGCTTGTATTTTTGCACAATAGTTTCATATTTCGGTCAATTTCGTGAATTCAATGAACTATAATCTTAACAACTTTATAGGGGGGAAATGTGCCAACACATTCAGGAAACATTTTAGATTATTGTTTAAATTGACAATATGTTGTCCCTTGTTCGATCCAGGGAACATTCTTAGGCCAGATGAAAGCAGTTTTTGACATTTATTTTTCACATTTATTTACATTTTATAATATAAAAAATGATTACTTTAAACTATCTAAAAAACTAAATAAAGCAATTTTAGATTAGTTTCTGTAAAAACATAGAGAACTCTCATATAAGATTTTCATCACAATTTTAGCGGTATTACATAAAATAATTGATTATTATTTTATTTCAATGCACCTATAAATTCATCCCAGTTAATTCAAACTACTTGTTAATTTCTTCACGTAAGGCAAAATAAATTTTCTGGACGCTGCTGTATTCCCTTGCTTGTAATATTTTCCAAACTCTGTATGACTGGAATCCGCCTGTAATCCCAGGGTGGAGTCAGGATGTTGGAGCGCAGTAGCGATCAGATCTCTGGTTGCCTCTTCTCCTTGGATCAGAATATCTCGCTCTACAACACCTGCGGAATGTTCACATGTACAGGGTAGTCAACTAATGACGTTCTTAAAATGTGAATATAACGATCTGAAGGTTAAAGGTTTTGGGTCTTTTAATGGTAATTTAGTCAATTGGGTTTATTTGATAAAGAAACAAGTTTACATTAAAAAAAAATAGAAAAGGAAAACACTAAGGAAGCCTTTAGCCAATGTTACCTTCAGTAACTAAGTATCCCATCACTATGACAACTGTTAAATCTTCTTCTTTCTTAAACAAGGTGAGATCATCTTTACAATTCTAAAATTTGATGAATCAACATACAGTGGTAACTAGAAAACAGTTTAAATTAAATTTAATAAAGTTTATTAAAAAATGAGCTCCAGAGAGCCTAAATTTGTAGCATAAAACGCACTGAGTCCTCTACACACTGGTTACGCTAGACAGACTGGTACAAATAGATGTGTATTCAGTACGATACTGGTTCGTATTATGCAACTATTGGACTCATGTGAACAATTCAATTCTAGATTAAAAGAAGAAATACGACAAACTTTTCACAGCGGTCTGGTTATCACATAATAGTAATATATAATAGTAAAAGCAAAAACCTTTAAAAGCATTGCAAAAAAATTAGTTTAGCTGAAAACTTTTGAATATGCGGAGAGTTAAAATAATTTCTGCTTTTAGGGGACTGTGAAGTTAAAAATGAAAGGGGGTATAGGCTGAAACCTAAGCATTTTAGGAGTTCTTTATGATGTTCCTGTCTCGAGAAATTGATAAAAAATCGTGTCAAATAACTCAGATTGTAAAAAGAAAAGATATTATGTTTTCTGATAAAAGGAATAGAAATTTATGTGAAAGCAAACTATTGCTGACTATTAAAAGATAGAAATTTCAACTCAGGATATATAGATATATGCCACAAGTCTTACATACTTTTAAAATATAAACTTAGCTAGCGACAAAATTCAAATTTGGTTCTTTAATTAAAGCTGCTGTAGATGTAATTAAAAGTGACCCTCGATTCACAACGGTACCCTTTCAACTTTGGACTGGTTTTCAAGCTTAATTTCAAATTTGGGTTTTCTATTAAAGCGATTTCATATGTGGATTTATGTAGAAGAAATAAAGAGAATTGTCAGAATTAAATACAATATCTTTCTCATGACTTTTCTGCAGATTGAAGTTGAGAGGGACCGTTGTGAATTGGACGTGCCACTTTGTAAATTGAGGGTCACTTGAAATCAGGTGTACAGTCCCTTAAAGATCCTTCTAAAGATCCTTCTGAATTTTTACATTTTTACATTTTTATATTGTAAGCATTTCAAAATTTGAGAAAATTTGAGCTTGAGACTTCGTTATAAAAGTTAAAATGTTGTTCTTAAAGTTGAAACGTTGATATAAAAGTTAAGACGTTTTTATTAAAGTTTAAACGTTGTTTTTTAAGCTAAAACATTGTTATAAAACTTAAAACGATGTTTTAATAGTTATAACGTTGTTTTAATAGTTAAAACGTTGTAGTTAAAACGTTGATATTAAAGTTTAAACGTGGTCACAACAGTAAAATAGTTGTTATAAAAGTTAAAACGTTGAAATTAAAGTTAAAACGCTGTTATTAAAGTTAAAACAATGTTATCAAAGTTAAAACGTTGTTATTAAAATTAAAACGTTGTTTTTAAAGCTAAAACATTGTTATTAAAGTTAAACGTTTTAATAGTAAAAACGTTGTTTTAATAGTTAAAACGTTGTTATCGATGTTAAAACGTTGTTATTAAAATTAAAACGTTATTGTTAAAGGTAAAACATTGTTATAAAAGTTAAAACGCTAACGCTGTTTTAACAGTTAGAACGTTGTTTTAATAGTTAAAACGTTGTTTCAATAGTTACCGTTGTTACCGTTAAAGCGTTGTTATAAAAGTTAAAACATTGATATAAAAGTTAAAACGTTGTTATGAAAGTAAAAATGTTGTTATAAAAGTTAAAACGTTGTTATACAAGTTAAACGTTATAAAAGTTAAAAGGTTGTTATGAAAGTAAAAACGTTGTTATAAAAGTTGAAAAGTAGAAAATTGAAAGAAGAAATGTTCTACCTTGAGCTGCATAAAGTTGGCTAGGAGGAGAGGAACAGAGCTTATTCCAATCCGAACCTTAATTTTAGCAAATGTTCAGATATTGGAAATGGTTGGAAATATTCACACAATCTCAATTTATAGCGGTTCTTTTTATTTGTTTTATTGGTTACACTTCAAAAAAAATTATTAACAAATATCTAATTTCAGTTTAGTAATCATAGTATTTCATTCAATTAAATGTTCAGTCTTTAACTTAGAAGCAAAACTTGTATTTTATAATAAATTTGTTATTTTCATTTTTAAATTTAAAATATTAAGAGTAATTATAGATATCGATGATAATGACGATGATTCTAATACTACCCATACCAATAATAAATAGGTTTAAGAATTATCCATTCACAATCTGCTACAAACCAAGATAACCACGCTCTGACGCAAAAGTCGAGCAGTATTTTGTCAGTTACTTATTTTAAATTTTAGCTAGAAAAAAGCGCTGTGCAATTAGAGAATGTATTTCTAGGGTTACAAAAATGTTAAGTGAATTGGTGGGGTAAAACTTAAGGACAAGGCGTTGCGACACTTTAAACTCGAGGCTGTCAAAAAATTTGATGACTAACTTTCTGAGTTCTCTAGATTTCAGTGAATCAAATGTTAAAATTGTTTTATCTTAGTTTTGAAACTCATTTGTTTACTGCACCTTGTCTGTAGTTATCAGCTTGAGGTCTCTCCTGAGAAGTTGATGAGGGGTGAGATGATCAAATCTAGTTTTTGCAGACCATAGCTCATTAAACCTAGCCATAGCATCAACCTGTTTATTATTAACATTAAACCTAGCCGTAGCATCAACCTATTCATTGTTAACATTAAACCTAGCCATAGCATCAACCTATTCATTATTAACATTAAACCAAGTTATAGCATCAACCTATGTATTATTAACATTAAACCTAGCCATAGCATCAACCTATTCATTATTAACATTAAACCTAGCCATAGCATCAACCTATTCATTGTTAAAATTAAACCTAGCCATAGCATCAACCTATTCATTGTTGAAATTAAACCTAGCCATAGCATCAACCTATTCATTGTAAACCTAGCCGTAGAATTAACCTATTCATTGTTAACATTAAACCTAGTCATAGCATCAACCTATTCATTGTTAAAATTAAACAAATCCGTAGCATCAACCTATTTATTATTAACATTAAACCAAGCCATAGCATCAACCTATTCATTGTTAAAATTAAACCTAGCCATAGCATCAACATTCATTTTAAACCAAGCCATAGCATCAACCTATTCATTGTTAACATTAAACCTAGCCGTAGCATCAACCTATTCATTGTTAAAATTAAACCTAGCCATAGCATCAACCTATTCATTGTAAACAAAGCCATAGCATCAACCTATTCATTGTTAACATTAAACCTAGCCGTAGCATCAACCTATTCATTGTTAAAATTAAACCTAGCTATAGCATCAACCTATTCATTGTAAACCTAGCCGTAAAATCAACCTATTCATGGTTAAAATTAAACCTAGCCGTAGCATCAACCTAATCATTTTACACCTAGCCGTAGTGTCAACCTATTCATTGTTAACATTAAACCTAGCCGTAGCATCAACCTATTCATTGTATACCTAGCCGTAGTGTCAACCTATTCATTGTTAACATTAAACCTAGCCGTAGCATCAACTTATTCATTATAAACATTAAACCTAGCCGTAGCATCAACCTATTACACTAAACCAAGAAGTAGCGTCCACCTGTTCATAGTAATTTTACAGGCTGTAAAATACAATTCTATTTATACTTTCAATACCGTTGTTATAAGAACTTTAAAAAGCTTGCAAGGTTTAGTTCTTTATTCACTCCTTTTCTTTCATCACGACTATGCAAATCATCCGCCTGCCATCTAGTGCTTCACGAAAAGCCCCCTAGTCCCCACCCCCATGAGCAAAGGAGTAAATTGTAATATTAAATACCTTTCCTATCACAGACTGGATTCTGTCCGACATTTTTACATCCTTGCCTGTCACTTTCTAAACATCAAAAATAATTCTATGAAAAGCATTAAAGGATTAAACGACACATGCAATATGTAGAATTTAAGTTTATGAAATTAAAAATATATTTACATGAGCTTCAGGTTTAAGGCCCACCGTATCCAGCAGAATTGCATCTAGGAGAAGTCCTAAAAAAAAGTTATTGATTAACAAATGTTTCAAAGACATGATAACTGAAAAAATCCCTCTACACCTACCTTATAACAATTATTTCTCTAATGAGTTTTAAAAAAAATAACTTTTTTTTCTTACCTAGTGCGACGGGGTCAGAAAAATCAGGATTCTCACTGAAACATTTTTGAATTAATAAATTTATATAGATACACTGAGAACCAGAAAACCCTGGATCAGGAAGACGACTTTTATACTCAAATTATGACTATAAATAGTCCAAACAACTTGAGCCAAATACATTGTGCATTGGAAAATGGTCCATTTAAATAAAGTGATTTAATAAGCTAATAGTAAAACTAGTTGCTTTGTAACAACATAAAATACAGTTTGGTTTTGCTATAATGTTCTCTTCGTATTCCTCAGTTTTCTAGTTCTCACTCTACCCTAATTATCTATGTTTTGTTTTTAAAGATAAAAATGAGTACAGAGATATACATTAATCAATAAAAAATGATTATTTTCAGATTTTTAACATTCTTATGTGTTTACCTAAATATTTTCTCTGCTACCAAACTAGCACATGAACCAACGGTTTCAACTTTTAAGCTGAAATAATAATAATAATGATTTATTAATCTGATCTATAAATAATAATAATAATGATTTATTAATCTGATCTATAAATAATAATTATAATGATTTATTAATCTGATCTATAAATAATAATAATAATGATTTATTAATCTGATCTATAAATAATAATTATAATGATTTANAGAATAACGAGTTCTTAATTTTGATTTTCTGTATTTTCTACTGATAAAGTTTTATATAATCTGTTTGACAAGACGTTAAAGCGGTAAAAACATTCCACTTTTATTTTATGTCGTCTTCCTATTCAAGTTCATTCTGGGGACCACTGTAAATACCTGACACCAGATTGTACTTCACTATATACTAGTACCCACTGTAATACAGTTATCAGAGTGTATTCCAATATATTCTGGGGACCACTGTTTACGTATCTAATACCTGAGTGTATTTCACTTTATCTTCGTGGCAATACATGCCATCTGACTGTATTCCACTTTATCCCACTGTACGCTGATACCAGATAGTATTCCACAATATTCGGGAGACCACTGTACAATGTACGTACTATCAAATTATATTCCTTCTATATTTGGGTGACCACTATAAAATATTAATAACAGATTATATTCCACTATATTCGGTTGACCACTGTATATAACTTATAACAGATTGTGTTACTTTTTAATCTGTTTATTGTACATAACGAGACATCACATTGTATTCCGCTTTATTGTAAAGACCAATGTACAGTGTACTTACCTGACACTAGATGTCTCCTCCCTCTCTTGTTGATGATGATCAAGAACTGCAACAACTCTACTCTCTAGTTCTACAATCAATACAATTAGACCTAATAATAATAAAGTCTCCACGACCCAAAACTTTTCACGAAACGATTCACAATTACAGTTTATTTTTAAGCAGAATGTAACCTGAGTCTTCAGCGGGAAGAATGTTATGATCAACTAAAACCAAACGTAACCCTTCTGAAGAAAAAACATTGAATTTTATATTTGATTTTTTTTTAACTTAAGGTTTTATTTTTTGGTGAAATTTTCTAAAATTGCAAACATTTATACTTAATCTAGTTTTATTCTTGATCTAGTTTTATACTTGATCTAGTTTTATACTTGATCTAATTTTGCAAAAAAAGAAAATAATTTCGAGTTACTAAAGGCAAGACTTTTTTGACAAAGTTTAACAATTTAAAATTCAAAGTTTTCCTAAAGATTTTAGACAAAAGCTGTCTCTAAACAGAAGATCCTCTTGACTGCAAGGAAGGTACATTCTTTTTGTTATAAAAAAATAAATATTTTTTTCAAACATTTTTTTTGCATTTAAACTATTTAACTATAAGAAATTTTCCTTAAATCTAGATTGTCAATGATGTAAACCAATTCAGTTTTCAGACTGTAGTCCTGAAATATTAAGAATAAAATCATTGAATTATTAACGAGCGACGTGACCATTGTCTAGTAATATTACATTGTCTATACACAACATCCCCCTACTGAACTTCTGACCTATTAACTTTCCGACCTACTGCAATATCGGACCTACGCCGTCTGTTTATTTTTGTATTATTTTAGGGTTAGGTTAGGTTAAGACAATTTCTAGGCCGAGCGCTGCGGCTAGGACATGCTAGGGGGCCGGGAGCTGCGGCTGGAAATCCATAAAGCAGCTGTAAAACCACGTGCTAGTAGATGTGTAATATAGTGCTTGTGGATGTGTAATATAGTGCTAGTGGATGTGTAATATAGAGGATTTGGCGTAGGTCAGAAGTGGAGCCGGATTTGCGTAGGTTGAAAAATACACCATCCCATTTTCTTTACCTTGGATGGAATGTTAAGAACCGGTAGAACCGGTTTTTCAAGATCAGCTGACTGCATGTGAAAAGCAAGAACGAGGGCAGAAACTCCTGAAAAAAGACAGGGCATATTTCATGTTGTTTTGGTTTGTTCTTTAAGAACTTGAAATAAAACTTCCAACATTTCGAAACTGTGTTCTGTTAAAGTTTTCTTTTATTAAACTTTACAAAATTTTATCCTAAATAAAAAATGGATAACGTACCAGAAAACGCGTTTATTTTGGATGGTTATTGTTAGTTTTTTTAGCACACATTTTTTCCAGGGTTAAAATTTGGCATTTCCATTTGGTGATAATTTGAGTGGAAGACGCGGCATTTGAGATGAAGTAACTTTTTTGCTTAGATATATTAAGTAATCAATCTCTGTTGTTTTTAGTATGTCCGATCATAAGACAAAAGACATAAGATACAATTAGGGTGACTCGCAAAAATTCTCCCAAATAAAGATTTAATTTATTCGAAAAAATAATGGCTTGTTCAGGTAGTTCGATGTGAGTGGGTACACAATTACAGGAATGTTCTTAGCTAAGTATAATGATATTAAGTTTAGTGGGTTCACTTTATTAGTTAAAGTAAAGTTTCCTGTTAAAGCTGGGTTTCCAAGCTAGTAATATAAAGTAGTAATCTCTGTTTGTCTGTATCTATTATGAATTCCCAATAACACAAGTGTTACCAGGTAACCACCCCTCCCTGCATGTATGTATATGTATGTCCATTCTAATTCTAACTTGAGTGGTTTGACTTTTACAGAGAAAATATAGTTTCCAGGTAAGCCTGCGTTCCTAAGCTACAATGGTAAGCGATTATATCAATACAATGAAGACTACTTTCGATTTCAATTTGATAACATATCAAAAACATAGGAGTCAATAGAAGTTTTCAATTAAAAAAGCTTCTCTTTGATTACATGTAAAATAGTAATTAAAAAAAAGCTTGTTAACAGTCAAAACTTAAATAAAAAAGTCGTCTTTATTGTCTCAATATAATTGCCTACCACTGTAGTATTTAAAAAATGTATCGAACCTGAGTCAAGATCACAAGCTTCATTCCCCAGAACTACGCTAACTTCTTCAGTTAGAAAACTCTAAAAAACAACCTTATAATGACTAAATCAAAATATTGAACATGTTACATAATTTAGCTTTTTAACTAAAAGAAAACATTGCGTGAGACGGAAATGATACAGGGTAGCCCACAAAGGATGCGAGTTCAGAGCAGACTGTACAGAATCTATTTATTCTTTATTCTTAAATGTATTGTTCCTTGCATGCAGCTTCAAACTTATTTCTTTCTTTTTCAGATTATTTGATATATAGCCATTTACAAGCTTAATTAAATACAAAGGTTCACATTAATCTTTGAGATCGTTATATTTATTTCTGGTTAATCCTGAATTTGTCAAAAGATTAACCGTAAAAATTAGAGAATTTATTTTTTATTAATTTGGTGGATTTTCATTTACAGAAAATATTTCAGCTGATCCTTGTATTCAATCTAAGATATACTTACCGGTCTCTTAAGTTCTGAACGTAAAGACTTAACCCACTTTATCATTTTAATGGATAACTATCTGAAACATTATCAAATTAATTTTAGAACTTTATTCCGAAATTTACTACTAAATCTTTATTTAATGGATTCTATAGAAAGTTAAGACTGCAAGATCTCTTCTTAACTTTTCAAATGATAAAACGCAATTTGTCTTACTAGTTTAGGATCTTCGAATAAAACAAACAAAATCACATAAAATCAATTTATTAATATATCTTTCACATAGCACCAATTTATTAGTATATCTTTCACATAGCATCAATTTATTAAATATCTTGTATCACATCTAAAAAATATTTTTGCATTTTTCTTTACGCTAATCTTACAATGGTGACAAGTCACAAGGCAATATTTGGTATTTAAGTTTACTTTAGATTAAAAAACAATGACAAATGGTAGTTTCAAGGCACTGTAAGTGCTATTTCAAGCGACCCTGATTTACCACAGTACCCTTAATAACGTTGTCTGATAAAGTATGAATTAGATATCAACGTTTATAGTTTTGAATACTAATAATTTTCAAGTATGGTTTGTCAACAGAACAGCATTTCTACTGCAAAAACAACATATATAATCAGTTAGACACGGTAAGACTTACAGACAGTGACCGGAAATGTATGGTAGCTGAACTGAGTATGTTGTATTGTGGACCAATTTTTTAGGATTCATTTGAAACATATAAAACGGTTCTACGATGTATAAATACTGAGTTCAAGAGCAAAGTGGACGTTCAAAATCATGAATTTGGGTGGGCACGTTTTCAGAATCGGTTTTAAAAAAATTATTAAATAGCGACGACAAAAAATGTAAAAAAAATTCTTCAGTAAACTAATTAGTTTTTTCGGAACAGGTTGAGAAAATAAAAATTAACTATTTTCATCAAAAATAAGTAATCTTTTTCAATTATTAGATTTCATATCATATCATAATTCAAAAAGATATTCTGCAGATTTGTAGATATTTGCGAAAAATTCATAGAAAATAAGAAATTCAATATAGTGAAGAAAAAGGAAATAATTTATTCTAACATTGATTTTTGACATATTTCTTTTGAGAAATATGTTCCTAACCATCTAATTAGTTTACTATAGAATTTAAACTATATTTTTTGACGTCGTTTTTTATTGATTTAAAAAAACGATTCTGAAAACGTNTTCGATATGTGTGTGGAAAAAATACCACACACATATCATTGTCTAAGGTCTTTACCTGGATACAGTCTAGAGTATGAAAACCCACAGCCATATGCAGAAAGAGGACATCTAGCAACCAACCAGTTGTTCAGTCCACCGTGAATATCATTATGCACATTCTAAAATAATTATCTTCAACTTAAAAAAAAAGTTTGTAATGAACCTTAAAAAAAAAACTTGGGTTTTATTTCTTACAATGCAACCAATCTCGTGTTGGTAAAAGTTTCAAGGTTACCAATACCATTGTGAATCGATTATCTTAAAGTTTTCTTAAATTTACATTGACTGTCTCATTGAACAGCTGCAGAGTGCAGACACGACAAATGAATAAGATTAATAAGAATAAAAGGGAATGTACTCAGTGTTCACCTTACAATGATTCTCCCATTGATCTCTTCTTAGATCCTAAATTCAGAATCCATAATTTAATCAAAGTTTTGAAGAGAACTACAATAAATAGGCTAAGACTTCTTGAGTGTGTAATTCAAATTATTTTCAGAAGTTGTCTATCGTCAAGTATTATCAAAGTTTATTAAATTTGAATTTTGAAATTACGCTGGATTTTTTTTACAGAATGTTTGTTTTAAGTCACTTTATCAAAATTTTAAAAAGTTATTGAATTCTGAATAATAACTACAATAAAAACAAATCTTTATCAATCAAAAAGTACATCAGAAATACACACAAGTTTAAAATTATATTTCATATGTTTTCAGTCATAACTCATCTTATTGCATTTTGAGGCGCTATTGAGAGAATTGAGAAGAACCAAAAAAGCTTTTAATTTGTAATGAACACCTGGATAAATTTGTCATGCGTAAAATCAAAACTTGAGGAGATACAAGGGCACTAAGTTGCACCAGTAATATCGCACGAATATTGCCTTCTTCTTCTGTCTTGTTAACAGAGAAATATACATTTGGAAGTATTTAGTGGAGGAAAATGATACTTTTAGAATTCAACCAAAACATCAAATAAAATTGTTCTTATCTTCAAATAAAGTTTTTTTGCAGACTAATATTTTTTGTTTGAATCCTGGGAGATTTAAAGTAAGCCTAATTAGGATTAAACTCAATTTATCAGAACTCTCCAGCTAGTCTTTCATCTCTTCAATTTGAATCTAGTTTTTAACTTATCTGCTCTATGGTGTATAGATACCTGGGAACTTTAAACAACTCTCCACCTAGTCTTTCATCTCTTCTATTTGAATCTAGTTTTTAACTTATCTGCTCCATGGTGTATGGATACCTGGGAACTTTAAACACTCTCTCCTAGTCTTTCATCTCTTCAATTTGAATCTAGTTTTTAACTTATCTGCTCCATGGTGTATGGATACCTGGGAACTTTAAACAACTCTCGACCTAGTCTTTCATCTCTTAAATTTGAATCTAGTTTTTAACTTATCTGCTCCATGGTGTATGGATACCTGGGAACTTCAAACAACTCTCCACCTAGTCTTTCATCTCTTAAAGCTAGTTCAAGGTCAACATCTCCTCTGAACAAAATTTTTAAAATGCTCTTACATGTTGTAAAAAGAGGGGGGTGCACCCCCCGGCCCCTGCATATTGTAAAACGAGAATTNCACCCCCTCCCCCTACAGATTGTAAAACGAGAATTCAGAGTGAAAAAACAGGGCGAACATTTTTACCTCGCCAAAATTCTAAAATTCTGAATGTTTTTAATCGTTTAAATTGTTCACCTGGCAGCTTGAGGGTTCTTTAACTGGAAAGGAAGAGTACAACATCTCTCTTTACAGGATATTGGAGACCTGTACAAAATATACAATATCAGTGATGTAAATATTGTAATTTTTCATTAAATACAAAATAGTGTTAGCCAAAATATCATCAATTTTGAGAACATTTAGTTACACAAATCAAATGGATTTTGTCTAGGAGCTTTAAAAACAGACGCGTACAATGTACAAGAAGATATACTTGTTTACAGCCGTATCGTTTGTAAAGTTTGTAAAGTATACAGTTGAACCACCATACATACAGCTGTAAAGTTCCTGACCTGTTCCATTCTTGAGTGGAAGCAATAATATTTGCCGGGCAGGTAGGCAGGTGCGAGGGAACCTATAACCATTTTTCAAATAAATATTAAATTAATAAATCTCCTATATTTTCATTAAAACAACACAAATTCTGACTTATTTATCTTAACTAAAATGAAATAATTTATTGACATCAATCAAACTTTTAAAAATGTATGTACTTCTAACGATAAGATAATTATGATAATTTAATCATGATAACAATAACAATAAGAATAACAAAACTAAAGAAAATAAAAATAACAAAAACAACAATCATCATTTTATTAAGACTTTTTCTTTGATATGTTAAAAGTTTAAATGGTTTTGATTTATTAAAGGAAAATCCTAATTAAATAGTGAATTCAAATTAAATATACATTCTAAGTTTCAAACCTTACATTCTGACGTTGTAAAGATGCTGAGCAACCATATTGAGTGTTAGGACAGGGAATATATTCCTTATAACAGGGCAGTAAATGTTCAGTTTCCTAAACATATTCACTATTCAGTGTTATTATTCAGTTTCCTAAACATATTAAGTGTTAATGTTCAGTTTCCTAAACATATTAAGTGTTAATGTTCAGTTTCCTAAACATATTTAGTGTTATTGTTCAGTTTCCTAAACATATTAAGTGTTATTGTTTAGTTTTCTTAACATATTAAGTGTTATTGTTCAGTTTCCTAACCATATTTAGTGTTATTGTTCAGTTTCCTAAATATATTCAGTATTGTTGGTTAGTTTTCTAAACATATTTAGTGTTATTGTTCAGTTTCCTAAACATATTAAGTGTTATTGTTTAGTTTTCTTAACATATTAAGTGTTAATGTTCAGTTTCCTAACCATATTTAGTGTTATTGTTCAGTTTCCTAAACATATTCAGTATTGTTGGTTAGTTTTCTAAACATATTTAGTGTTATTGTTTCGTTTCCTAAACATATTTAGTGTTATTGTTTAGTTTCCTAAACATATTTAGTGTTAATGTTCAGTTTCCTAAACATATTTAGTGTTAATGTTCAGTTTTCTAAACATATTTAGTGTTATTGTTTAGTTTCCTATACATATTTAGTATTATTGTTCAGTTTTCTAAACATATTTAATGTTATTGTTTAGTTTCCTAAACATATTTAGTGTTATTGTTCAGTTTTCTAAACATATTGAGTGTTAATGTTTAGTTTTCTAAACATATTGAGTGTTAATGTTCAGTTTTCTAAACATATTGAGTGTTAATGTTCAGTTTCCTAAATATATTCAGTATCTTTGTTTAGTTTCCTAAACATATTTAGTGTTATTGTTCAGTTTTCTTTACATTTTGAGTGTTAATGTTCAGTTTTCTAAACATATTAAGTGTTAATGTTCAGTTTCTTAAACATATTGAGTGTTATTGTTCAGTTTTCTAAACATATTGAGTGTTAATGTTTAGTTTTCTAAACATATTGAGTGTTAATGTTCAGTTTTCTAAACATATTAAGTATTAATGTTCAGTTTCCTAAATATATTCAGTATCTTTGTTTAGTTTCCTAAACATATTTAGTGTTATTGTTCAGTTTTCTTTACATTTTGAGTGTTTATGTTCAGTTTCCTAAAAATATTAAGTGTTAACGTTGAGTTTTCTAAACATATTCATGGTATTATTGGTTAGTTTCCTAAACATTTTGAGTATTAATGTTCAGTTTTCTAAACATATTTAGTGTTAATGTTCAGTTTCCTAAACATACTTAGTGTTATTGTTTAGTTTCCTAAACATATTTAGCGTTATTGTTCAGTTTTCTAAACATATTTAGCGTTATTGTTTAGTTTCATAAACATATTTAGTGTTATTGTTTAGTTTCCGTAACATATTTAGTGTTATTGTTTAGTTTTCTTAATATTTTTAGTGTTATTGTTTAGTTTTCTAAACATATTTAGTGTTATTGTTTAGTTTTCTTAACATAGTAAGTGTTAATGTTCAGTTTCCTAAACAAATTAAGTATTATTGGTTAGTTTTCTAAACATATTTAGTGTTATTGTTTAGTTTCCTAATCATATTTAGTGTTATTGTTCAGTTTTCTTAACATATTTAGTGTTATTGTTTAGTTTTCTAAACATATTTAGTGTTATTGTTCAGTTTTCTAAACATATTTAGTGTTATTGTTTAGTTTTCTAAACATATTAAGTGTTAATGTTCAGTTTCCTAAACATATTAAGTGTTAATGTTCAGTTTCCTAAATATATTCAGTATTATTTGTTAGTTTTCTAAACATATTTAGTCTTATTGTTTAGTTTTCTAAACATAATTAGTGTTATTGTTTAGTTTCCTAAACATTTTGAGTGTAAATGTTCAGTTTCCTAAACATATTAAATGTAAATGTACAGTTTCCTAAACATTTTGAGTGTTAATGTTCAGTTTTCTAAACATATTGAGTGTTGATGTTCAGTTTTCTGAACATTTTGAGTGTTAATATTGAGTTTTCTAAACATATTGAGTGTTAATGTTCAATTTCCTAAACATATTAAGTGTTAATGTTCAGTTTTCTAAACATATTCATGGTATTATTGGTTAGTTTCCTGAACATATTTAGTGTTAATGTTCAGTTTCCTAAACATTTTGAGTGTAAATGTTCAGTTTCCTAAACAATTTTCTTTTCAAGGAACTGTTCAAGATATTTGAAGGGGGTAAAATGACCATCAAAATATATAAATAATCATAATAAATTCATAAATTATTATTAGAAACGTTCTTAAACCAAATGTTATATGTGTAGTGAACTTAAAGGGACTGTCAAGTGTCAATGTAAATTCAAGGGACGCTTAATTGATAGAATGGCTCGTCAGATTCACAACGGTACCTTTAAACACGTTATCTGGCTTAAATAATAAGATATCTTGTTTTTGAATTTTGAAAACTGATTGTTTTCATTTGTGATATCTTTACAAAAGTGACTTGCTTCAGAAGCAATGGAGGAATTATCAGAATCGAACACTTGTCAAACTTAATAACTCCCTGTTCATTGAGGATTAAGTTTAAATCATTTAATTTTATTTAACTGATTTTTTGCTAATTATTTCAAAAATCCCAAATTGAATTCTCTTCACTCCTAAAAATATTGAGATAATTTTTTTCATAAAATATAAAAAAAGTTTTTTTCGTTGACTGAACCATTTCAAACCAGAGAAAATGAGGAGAATGTTTCTCGGACGAAGAATTGATAAACCATGCGTGAATCATTGACACTTTTTAAAAAAAGGGGCCTCAAAGGTCACATAAACGATATTGACCAGTCCTCTGAACCTGAACTCTGAAGCTTAGTGTTAGTTAGCTAAGACATTAACATATAATATATATATATATATATATCCTCTGAACCTGAACTCTGAAGCTTAGTGTTAGTTAGCTAAGACATTAACATATAATGTATATATATATATATATAGTAAGTGTCGTAAACTGTACACCATAGGTACAACTATAGGTCGTATCTAATATCTATCTATTTACACTGCTCTGGTAAAGCGTAACCATAGTGTGACTATGGCTCTACCTATGGTAGAGCGTCTAAGAAATTGGCCATTACTTTTTTCGACTTAAAAATTCTTTTTTTTTACTTAAGGTCTTAAATGCATTCACGGTCGTTGTTCGTCTTGTGCTGCGGACCCCATACTTTTTTGTACATATGACGGCAAGCTAAATAGTAAAAATATAAAAATATAAAATTCAAAAAATAAGCAGTCCAATTTACTTCCAACATATCTTGGAAAACGGATTCAAGATTCTGAGCACAAACGGGGAAAAACCATTATTAGCAAGCTGGTCCGGGGTGAGAGTCACCATGTCCTGCGTGTGGCAGGGAGGAGCTAGGAACATAATCTGACACAAGCTTCCCATCGGGGAAGTTGAAAACACTAAGGTCCGGGATGTCGAGGTTGAGTTTCGTCGGCTTAGGTGGGTTCCAAAAGAGACTGCAATTAAAAGATTTCTGTGAAAAGCTCGCCGAGTAGAACACAGGAACCAGAGAGAACTCGTTGGTTGTCTGGGCTAAAAACCAGAGGGAAGGAAGCAAAAGCGCCACCGTTCCAATGAATGGCTGTT